GGCACAAAGTCTCCCACACAAGTTGCTGGCCACTCGCGCGACATGAGGCCTGGCGTTGTCATGGAGGAAAAGAACACCTTTGCGATTCACCAGTGCTGGCTCCTTCTGGCGCAATGCCTGTTGCACACGTTTCAATTGCTGCAAGTATAGGTGTCCAGTGACCGTTTAGCCCGTTGGTAGAAGTTCATTATAAACCACTTGACGACCTGTCCACCAGACACAAAGCATAATCTTTCGTGGGTGTATAGGCGGTCTTGCGTTGTGAGGGACAGCATCCTGAGGAGACAACCAATGTCTAGAACGCTTGGGAGTTTCGTACAGAACACACTTTTCATCACTAGTACGCACTCGATTGAATAAGGATGCGGTACGGTGGCGAGAAAGCAGCGATACGCAGGCTGCCACTCGTTGTCCCTTGTGGACCTCCAACAGTGTTTGCCGAACCCACTTGCTCAGTTTGTACGTCTTATCAAGGCGGTGCAGGTGAAGTCTAACTGTTTCATCGGAAACGTTTAACTGTCTTGCAAGTTCACCACACGTTAGACTACTGTCCTCTTCAATGTCCACCTTCAGGACTCCGTCATTCAAGACCTGTGGTCATCCACTACGAGGCTCCTCATGGAGAGAGAAATCTCCCGACTTGAATTTTTGAAATCAACGCCTTGCAGTACGTTCATCCACAGCACTATCCCCAAACGCTTGACATATGCGGCGACTTGATGCAGCTGCTGATAAGCCCACTTTGAAGTCGTAAAGCAAACAGCCCCGAACGAGATCTCTAGACACTTCCATCATTCTCACAGCTGTCCGGCTTATAACTGATGGCCGGGCACGGTGCGCGTGTTTTTTTATAACGTCTGATGTTCCTACTTCCGGCTGTCCGAATTTGAAAACAATTGCTACATTGCGCATTTCGTGTATATTTCAACTTCATTCAATGACTAATCAAAAAACGGACAGAACTTTTTTCGTTACCTTGTATGTTGCTTTATATATTGTTGCCACATCTGTTCTGGTTTTTCTACTATGAATTTACAATTTTTTTGCTAAAATCCACAGAAGAATGTGCAATGTTATTGTTCCTAACCTGAAATCTCCGTTACAGTCACTTTCTCATCGCCGTAACGTAGCTTCCCTCTGCCTTTTATGTAAACACTTTCGTGGCAATCGTTCCAACGAACTTTCCTCTATGGTACCTAGATTTTTCAGCGCAGTACTAGATTGGCGGCAAGGTCTCATTATTTTACAGGTGAAATGATTAGATGGAATCGCAAGTTCTATGCCAACAATTTCTTCTATAGAACATCTCGCTTAATCCTTTGAGCCCTGACCACTGCTTTACCGGTGGTGCAGAAAAATGACCTAATGCCCAACTACCGGCTGAACAGCGGAAGAGAAAAAGGATTTAATGCCCAGCCGACGGTTGAACAGTGGGTAAACACTTGTACCTATTTTTATATCTACCGTGAAATATTACATACCAATTTTGGCTAATTTTGGCTCAGGAGCTCAGGCAGAGTTTTTTTTTTAATTATTCCGGAACGCACGGCTGAAAGGGTTAAAGAACTCTATTTCATTTGCATGCTTCCAAGTCAACAGTGATATTCAACAATTGAAATGCAATGTCAGTCTTCATCTACTGACTTCTTAATTCTTGTTCTTTTATTGTTCTCTCTCCTTAATATTCTTTAGTTTTTCATATTCTCTAATATTCAGTAACTCCTTACGTCTTACTGGCTTTATTGCCTTTCTTGGTTGAAATGATTAAAAAAATGTAGAAAATATATAATGTCAAACTATATTCAGCACATATAAGAAAATACAATAAATCTGATGATAATTATTTGATATTCAATTATAAATATTTCCATTATGGAAGCTATTGAAATGAACTGTTTATAGATTTATATATCAAACGATATGCGATAGAAAGTTGTTTTTGAAATGACTTTGAAGGTATCATGTTCATTAGTTCCAAACAGCTAGGCCTGGTTATTTCAAAAATATTAATCAGGCTGAATCCATAATGTTATGTTTCCCCGACCCGCCATATAAAACCCTAATTCCCCAGTTCCAAAGAACGTTTATTTGGAATTATGCTGCGTTTCTATCAGTTTCATCCATTCTGATCATTCCCTTCGAATCTCTTTCATCAACATGGCGGCCTACTGACTTTCATTTCAAGAGTATGTCTATGAGAAAGAAAAGTTATTTAAGTGTCTTTGAACACGGAATCGTCGTTGTTGCCTGACTTGCGGGTCTGGGTATTTTAAAAAGTTGGTGATCAACATAGAATTTCACACACAACCATCTCCATTGTTTTACAGAGAACAGTCAGAAAAAAAGACTCCAATCTGCAATAATTCCCCAGGCGGAAAACGCTTGTTGATGAAAGTAGTCGGAAAAAGAACGGCTAGACACATGGAAACTGATAAAGATAATAAGAGTTTAAATAGCTACTTTTTACAACGGGAGTATCCAGAATTTGGCATAAAAAACAAACAAACAAAAAAACAATATATGAAAGTATGGATTTATTCTATCTTGGATCAACGGCTCAAGGTGATGGTGGTGATAGTGTAATGGCTTCGCGAACATTTTCATACATTGAGACCGTATTATAAATAAAAGATCGTTTCGAATGTTGTAATCTGTGTAGGTATTGTGGCTATGTGCGTAAGTTTAAGACTACAGCACACACATCCTAACAAATCGTGTCACTATTACGAACTAGTGGCATATTTTATCATGAAATACAGAAATAACTGTTTTCTGCGTTAAAGTGACCTCCATAGTCAGCAGATTCCAATTCCATAGATCATTTTTGGTGTGTTTAAAAGGGAGATTGGAATACGGCATGCGCAATCATCCAATCTAGAAATTCAGGATGCCATAATGACAGTTGGGACAAACTTTGAACGAATGCAAAGAGAACAGCGTCGAATCCATGCTAAGAGGTAAATTCCGAATCCAAATCAGTGGATGCAGAGAATAAAATGGGCAGTGTGTATAGGCCACAGGAATATATATTTGATGAGCACAATTCCCTATACACCTGAATACACTTTATTATTCTATATGTTAATATAGGCAACTTGGTATTTATTTTCGGCGAGACCATGGCATATTCCTTCATTTTTAAAGGGTCCGTCAGTAGTTCACAAGAGCGAGTTATTAATAACCTTTCATCTTCTATACAGAATATAAATAATAATCATGAAATAGAATTTGAAATATCTAATGGTTATTGCTATTGTGAGGTAATTCATTAGCTTGCAGGAAACTTTCGCCAATCATTGACCGAAACAGGTTGATATATATATATATATATATATATATATATATATATATATATATATATATATATAATTAATTACATTGAATGGTAATCATCAGACCTACAAATTCAAAATGTTTGAATTTGTAGGTCTGCTGAATTGGATCGTGATTACCATTCCAATGTAATAAATTATAACCATTGAATATTAGTGTTTGAGCCTTTTTATTATATTCTTACTCTGTCCTGAACATTGAATTCTACCTGGATTCTATCCTCTTGGGAATTTATATATATATATATATATATATATATATATATATATATATATATATATATATATATATATTGATAACTAATATTATGAGTATAGATATATAGAGAGAGTGTAAATTACATCTTATCAGCGGAATACAAAGGGAATGAGAACGGTTCTCTACAATGTGCGTGTCATGGTGGGTCCAAGACGTAAAGGTTTGAACTGGTGGAAATAAAAAAGTAGCTCGTCTGATCACTTTCCAAAGAAATAGTGATAGGACAGCGAGAGGTATGCGATGTTTCGTCTGTGTGAAAGGGTTGTAGTGTGGAAAATAGGTTGCTCTTTCCTTCCGAACCTTTTGGTTGGTGTAGTGTGGAAAGTCAACATCTTGTTTATGCCAACATCTTTCCCTTACACGCCTCTGTACTATATATTCATTTGTTGCTGTTAGAAGTGTTCAAGCGAAGTGATTTTATATGTTGTCCAAAGCTATTTGTTTTTAATATTTGTATTTTAATATGCTGCTTAAGTTGTGGAAACCTTCTTTGAGCATGCCAATGCGCTTCACTTTCTCTTTTAATTAGAGAAAAAAATTGTATGATGAGAATTAGAGTTAGACTCATTACGGTGAGGAACTGAGGCATTTAGTGTCGTATTTTGCAGATAACACTTTTGTGTTCAAATAATTTTTCCGCTATCTATTCCTTGTGACATTATTTTTGGTGATAGTGTAAAATCCTTCTTTAAATTTTAGCTTATTATTTTGTTTTGTATTAACTAATTCTTGGATAGTTTTAGAAGTATTTGTCATAGATTTTTTTTTACCTAAATTTATATATTGTTTCCTCTTATATATATATATATATATATATATATATATATATATATATATATATATATATAATTAAATTGAAGACTCAGGGTGACAGGCTGTTTCATGCTAGACACAATCGCCGGCCTGACGATTGCGTCCAACATGAAACAGCCTATCCTCCGAGTATTGATATTAATGTTCACTTTTATATTTATATTTACATACGATCTGTCTCTGATATTGAGCACTTTTATCCCATAAATATAGCACACCTTAAAACTTTATATATATATATATATATATATATATATATATATATATATATATATATATATATATATATATATATAATTTGATCCCACAACAGTTGAGTTGTCGCACAACACGAATATTTTTTTATTATTAGGTTGGTGCAAAAATAATGACGTAAGAATGTCGTTTTTTGACGTAGAAAAGTACGTCAAAAAAAAACGACATTATTACGTCATTATTTTTGCACCAACCTAATATATCTTTAAAGTAGTTTGAAGAAAGTTGAGAAAGTGGGATAAAAAAATCTTATCAATGAGGATAGAGATCGGGTCGGGGTTGTAAATGCTCTTGGGGGGGATGGGGGGGTCGGAAACGAGCAGTGACGCGGGGAATCTAACACGCGGGAAAAAATATACGGCTTAAACCACAGCGTAAAGGGCAGGAAGATGTAGCCTGGTAGAAAAAAAAATCGCTGGATTAAAAAATCGAAGAAAAAATTCAGACGCTGAAAGAAAGAAAGAAAGACTGAAAGAAAGAAAATAAAAAGAAAGAAAGAAAGAAAGAAAGAAATAAAGACTGAATGAAAGAAAATAGAAAGAAAGAAAGAAAGAAAGAAAGAAAGAAAGACTGAAAGAAAGAAAATAAAAAGAAAGAAAGAAAGAAAGAAAACTAGAGAAAAAAAATAAACAAAAAGGACAAGGGGGAATCCCTAAATGTCTGTATGTGTGAGTGTATATATGTATGGGTGTATGTGTCAGAGAGATAGAGAGAGAGAGAAAGAGAGAGAGATAGAGAAAGAGAGAGAGAAAGAGAGAGAGAGAGCGAGTCTTTGTGAGAGAGAGAGAGAGTGAGAGAGAGTTATTCCCTGTCTTACTATGTCTCTCTTGTTTTCATTATGTCCTGTGAGTACCAAATTCTCCACGTCCTCTTTCCTCGTTATGTGCTCAAGAAATTTTAAGTATTTTCTAAGTATTAGTGTTCTTTTTTTAATTTTCCTTAAAACTTCTTTGTTACTCCTATGTTCAGTTCACAGTATTCTCAGCATCCTTCTGTAGAGCTGTATTTATGTTGCCTCAAGATTGTCCAGCATTCACTGACCTATATGAGGATTGATATTACATAACAGTTCAGTATTTTTTCTTTATTTCTAAAGAAATTCTCCTGTTTCTTAATACTTTATTTAGATTTTAGAATGCAACATTCACTATCCCAAAGGTAATTGTGATGGTAATATTAGCCATTTTCTTATATGGAATCATTCAGTATTCATTGACTGAGTAGACGGTGCCTTTGGATCCAAAGCATATTAATGAAACTAAATATCAGGAAATATCCTGAACATTTGATAATTCTGATTTTTAAAAAAATTGGTATCACCCCATACAAGGCGTTAAAGCTACTAAGGCACAAAGGGTTATAGGGTGTTTGCTTGGTCAAATTTTAGGAAGGGGGTCGAACTGTTTTTCATCAGCCCCTCGTATGAAATGATTTACCAAAATATTAGTGGCAACAGTAGATTGGATAGGTTCGCCCTTCCATACGTGTAGAAATGGACAGTCAGGTGACGTAATCGATAAAGAAGATAGTGTCGCTGTTCAATCTAGCTATATTAGCTAAGGGACTCGGAAAGCATTTAACACCATTGGATCACGAAATAACTATTCGGTTCATAAAGATAGAGCACTCTATTACCGAGGTGTCAAGAATCGCTGACTAGTGCCAGACTACTTGAATGTCGGCCAGATATCAGCTGCACGTGAAAAATGTGACTTCGCATAAGAACGGAACCACTGCCGACAAACAAGGATATTAAACATCAATCAAATATATGCCTCGCTTTCGATCTGTGAAAACAGTAGAATTCATACACTACATTCCAGAAAATCTCGCTGTCTTTGTCCATTCTGTCACATCGACCATAATCAGTGTAAATTACGTTGGCTCTATGGTATGCGCTTTGTTAGCGCTACATACAGCGTTTGGATTCAGAGTAATTCTTTGTACTTGACTAGATACCAACCTCGGCTAAATTGAAGAGAACATTAGCTGTGGACAACTTACCCCCAATTTTATATCAATCTTTAATATCTTACCCGAAAAGCTAAAAATATAATAAAAAATTAAACAACGATACCTTTCTATATAATTTGCATCGTTTTGACTGTTGTGTTAATCTTTATTGGCATATTCACGACGTTTCGGCCGTTGTACGCTCCGACGTCTTCATATGATATACGTTGTAATTTCGAACCGAGCCCTGTATTTAGTCCATGGGGATATATTTTCCTAATTCAACGTGCCGAGTCCTGTTTGAATATCTTGACAAGATGGGTTACTAAAAGAAATTAACTAATACTGAGATATCCCAAAAAGGTATGGTGCGTAGAATTAGAACAAAGTACCCTCCTGGAGTAATATATATATATATATATATATATATATATATATATATATATATATAATGCGCTCTCCCGTCGGTTTTGACGTATGAGGATCTGTCAGCTTATTGATTCAGTTATGAAAGTTTATGCGATAATTTTAAGTGGCATTTAAGACCCGCTAATGATTTACAAAGGAGGCCACATATGGATCAGGTGTGAGAATTGCGAGATGAGATCACTGTTAGATTGGCTGACCTTTTAGATCTTGCTCTCGCTTCTTGAACATGATTCAGACAAGCAGATTGAAAATTGCTGAGTCCACTAAAACACGTTGATCTCCATTCTACCCGCTACAAATCTAAGCGCTCAAGGGTGTTAACTGCTGACAAGTTGCTTTTCAGCTTGTCTTTGTATCTTAGCCATCGGCGTCCTACATTCTTTTAGCACTGATCTAACTGGCTATACATTAGGATATACATATGCACACACACACACACACACACACACACACACACACACACACACACACACACACACACACACACACACACACACACACACACACACACACATATATATATATATATATATATATATATATATATATATATATATATATATATATATATAGGGTGGGGAAAGCAAAATTTACAAAGAAAGTTTAGTTGCTTTTTCTTAGAAAATAGTACGCCAATTTTTTAAAACCTAGCATATATTGATGCCACAACCATATTTAATATTATTATTCATATCTTTTCAGAAACCTTTACCCGTATGAGTAACCAGGAAAGCAAACGTGAAATAATCTGTGATTTGCTAAATGCACTTATTAATCCAAAGGTGAAATGCGCAAGTTTCAGGTGTATGGAAACAGTTATTGAGAAAAAAAGGACACATAGAATAAAAATTGTTTCTAGTATGCAAATTGTTTTTGTGGAAAATACATTCCTTCAATTTTCAATAAACTAATTGGTCATTTAAGGTCTTTCAATTCCTGTCTGAAAATATTGTAAATTTTGCTTCCCCACCCTGTATGCTGTTTATACGTTATTTTTATAGATACAAATATTTAAGTGAAGGCTCTGTTCATAATAAACAGTATTAATATTTACCGGCCTGAATGTCTGAGAAATTTCATATGAAATAAGTTTCCTCCGACAGGAATAGAACCCGTAACATATACGGAATAGCCTGATGTGCTATCACATTTAGCTACAGAGGAAGTATCTGGTTAATAAGGTCAAATTACTGCTTTTAAATATTAAAATAATTGTCGGACTTAATCCATTTCATAAATATATATATATATATATATATATATATATATATATATATATATATATATAAGATAAATATAGTTTTAATATATGCTATATTTATGAGTCAACGTGCTCGATAACAGGGATAGAGCGCATGTAAATATAAAAGTGTATATTGAAGTTAGCATCTAATGGTGACAGTCTGTTCCCTGCTTAAACCCCAAATTGACGACTGAGTTTAGGCATGAAACTTTTGAAATTGTGGGTAAACTGTCCAAACTTCATGTTCTGTCTTCTTTTTTGTTCAGGTATTATCAATAACTGGATGTTGTCAGAATATAGACAAGATTTTGTTGTCTATATCTTGATTTTCTTTTGGAATTCCAGAATTCAAATGTATTTCTATCCTATCTTTAAGTTTATGTATAAAACCGTTACATGGAGGTAAAAGCGTATATATATATATATATATATATATATATATATATATATATATATATATATATATATATATATATATATATATATAGACATTTAAAATCAAATGAAAATAAAATAGATAGATAGACAGACAGACATACATTTGTGCGCAACAAGTGTCTGTACATTTAACAAATGCAGGTCAAGCCGTCTTCTCTCAGTTCAGTGTCAGAGCATGAATATATTTATATCTTATATCAGAAGTGTATATTTCGTAAACATTCTTATCACAAACACTTAAGTCTAGAGAAAGCCTCTTTTGACAATATATCAAGTCGAATGGGGCGCCTTAACTTTGAATAGTGAAGTAAATTTTCCGCGAAAAAGCTATAATATTCCACTTGTAGCGGCAGCAAATATTGATTTCTTCTCTGCTTTCTCTCAAATATCGATTCAGCTTTCATAAAACTCATTTTTTTTTCTTGGCCTCATATCAGGGATATCTAAAACTTCCAGTTGCAGTGATCATCAGTTTTGTTAAAGGGATGTCTTATTAACTCTTTAAATACATTTAAAACTGCATCAATGATTTTTTTTTTAAAGTTATAATTGTTTGTTCTATGATTTTACAGATATTAGGTTTAATTTTTCTTGGATTTATTTCGCCCGTAACAACTTAAGATTAACAATTCAGGAAATATAATTCCTTCATTTTGTTTATTTAATTACAAAACAAACAAACATATGGGAAGTATTAACACTTTATTTGTAATGACTAAAATAAATAACTTTTTTTCAAATAAATGCCGTATACTAAAATACTAAAAGCTAAAACATGCAGAATAAATGAATAGATCTTTAGAGAAAATTCAGTTATAACTGCATTAAAAAAATATTTTTAACTATTTTCTTAAAATTATAATATTTCTGTCTAATTTTATTTCCATTTCGAAAGCAAGACCGCTACAGCATTTGTGTATGTATGCGGGCGCACACGTGTGTACGTGCGTGTGTTTATGTTCTTGTGTGTGTGTGCGTGTATGTGTGTGTTAGTGGGTGTGTGTGTGTGTTAGTTATTGCTTACTGAAACGTTTGTCTCTTCGTATTGTGACTCAGGTGAGTCTCTGTTTACAGCCTTGTCTCCAGGTAAAAATCCTAGACGCATGCATTTTTATTCGTTCTTCTCCATTCTCTCTATCCCATTATTTCATCTTCATTCCATCTCTTTTCCACGGTTTAACATTCTATCACTCTGGCTGGACACATTTAATCTGCTTTCGTTTCTTCATTTTCGCTCAATCTCCCTTCAGCTAAATAGAATATAAGGAAAATGATTTATATATATATATATATATATATATATATATATATATATATATATATATATATATATATATGTATGTATTGTGTGATGAATAAATTGTCGTTTAAATTACGGAAAAATGAAAATAACTGTCATCTCATTTTAGTAAATATGCTTACCAAAATTATACAAACATATTTTGACACGCTAAAGATTAAATTTATTCAATAAAATTGACATTGTCTTCAGCTACGACCTCAAGATGACTTCGAAATTCCCAGCATCACTTCTGGGCTGTTTTCTCGTTTAAGTTGGTGATGGCTTCCATAATCCTTGTCTTCAGTTCATCTTTGATGTTTTGTTGGTCTTTCGCACAAGTTTGCCTCACACATAAAAATCAATGAGGTTTCGGTTTTCGAAGTTATGTAGCCAGATGAAAGGGGTGATGTGGTTGGAGAAATTGTCTGACAGCCATGGCTGGATTCTCTTGCTTGTGTGGCATGATACCATGTCCTATTGTCAAAGAGTCTTCCATCAGCCATCCTTTTGACCCATGGCAGTAATACAACCTCAAGGCACTGTATGTAAGAAACTGTGTAGTCTGAAGCATTCACCAACAAATTAAGGGAGTTCTTTTCTGGTCAGAACAATCAGATTGGGTTTTCCCAGCTGCCGTACCTTCGTAATCACCATTAGACTCATCCAACTCTTTCCGAATCATATGCACTCTCATCAGATTGAAATCCAAATATTCTGAAATGTCCGCAATGGAACCTCTGGCGCGAATGCCCAGCACGACAGCATGCTGTTTCTTAATTTCTGGCAGCAGAGTTAATTGCGTCTAGTTGCTCTTTTCATCACAGTTCATTCGAAAAAATTAAAAACAGACAACACGCATGCACGAAACAAAAAATATAAAATAGTGACAATTTCCTATCGGAAACTAATATATATATATATATATATATATATATATATATATATATATATGGCTAATGGTTAGAGTTGAATCAGACCAGGAAGCAGTGATATTAAAAAGTACTCAACACAAAAATAAAATAAAGTAAAATAATATGTAGAGCTTTTAACTTTAAAAATCAGGAGTTCAGTTGAATCCGCTACCTTGGTTTCAACCTTACGGTCTTCTCAGGCGGTTTTTATCAAAGGACCTCTTAACGCTTTATTTTTTTTAAAAACAATGAACGCTATATTATTTTGTAAAAAAGAAAGAAACAAACGTAGGACGTTGGGTGTAATAGAAAGGAGGGTGTGAAGAAGGAAGGAGAAAAGATAAAGAAGTGGGAAGAAATGAAAAGCAAAGATATTATAAAATTATCAGTGATATGGATTAACTGTAATGTTTATCTTTTTAGCCAGTCTTATATGTGCTTAAGAAAAATTTATTGATAGGTATGCAAGGAATATATATATATATATATATATATATATATATATGAATTTGAATTTGAATTATGGCACTTTGTGTCCTCCACATGTTTTGACTGACCTTTCAAACACTTGATGGATATTCATGAAAGTTCTCAGATTTTTTTTTATATATATATATATATATATATATATATATATATATTATGAAATGGACAAAGTCCGACAATTATTTTAAGACATTTTTATGTTATTTATTTTTATATTATAAAAAGAATGTATAAACATAAAAATGACTTAATATACACACATATATATTAGTATTATTATTACTATTATTATTCATATATACGTTACTTTTAGTGGGTACAAGTGTCTGATTTTTTTAGTATTTTTCTTAAACAATGAAATTAATAACAACCGGCCTATATTGAGACAAAGGGAAATAGATTCAAATATATATATATATATATATATATATATATATATATATATATATATATGTGTGTGTGTGTGTGTGTGTGTGTGTGTGTGTGTGTGTGTAGGTGGGTAGGTGTGTGTGTATGTATGTATCTATGTATGTGTAGATGTGTGTCTGTGTGTGTGCATGTATATATCTATGTATGTATGTATGTGTGTGTGTGTGTGTGTGTGTGTGTGTGTGTGTGTTTGTATCAGAATAATATTGAATGAATAAATGACAAAATAACAAATGATTTGTGATGCGTTTCGTTTCGACAAGTAACGAACATAATCTGAAGTATTTTAATTTAATAATCATTGTCTTTGCTCTTTCCGCCATTTTGCATTATTTTTATTAAAACCCCCAGTCATTCCCATTCAATCTGAAATCTTTTTCTTTTTTTCTTTCTTTTTTCTTTCTTTCTTTCTTTTTTCTTTTATTCATTTTATCCTTTAAAGAATTTACTTTCATTTTTTCTTTCTTTACCGATTTCATTCATTTATTTTTTCCTAATACATTTATTACTACCTTTTTCTTTTTTTCTTTTTTTCTTTCTTTCTTTCTTTAATGCTTTCATATGGTCTTGATTTTCTTATTATTTCTTTATTTTATTCCTTCTTTCATTAATTATTTCATTCATTTATTTTCTTTCATTCATTCTGTTTTTTCTGTATTTCATATTTTTA